GTGAAAGTGGTGGGGTGAGACCCTTTGTCCAGGGTGGGACACACACACACACACACTTGAGAGCACACTTATAAGAGCAGATGTCTACGACACCACGCATCTGAGAGCACACATTATGCAAGAGCGCACAAAAGAGGGCACACACCGCTACTAGTAACAAGGACGCTACTAGTAGCTCCTGGCCATACTACTAGGAACAAGAAACTACTAGTAACAAAGGGCATCGCTACTAGTAACAAGGGCACATGACTGGGCGTAGAACATCCACCTTCAGAGTCTTTGTCTCCGTCTCCAAGGCCGCCCCCTACGGCCCCCTTCCACCGGCGCTGGCCTTCTTCTTTCTTTTCGCCTCCTCAGCCTGGCAAGCATGGTCTTTTAACAGCGAGACTCGAAGACATCTGTGACTTCGTGATCGTGCTCAACTCGCATCTGGAGATACCAACTCATTCCCGTACAGTAAATCTCTTTTTTTTTGGGGGGGCGGGGGAAATTGAGGGGCCCCAGCGGAGATCTGGGAACATAAAAGTGCAGTTGATGTTCTAGATATTTAGGGAGTTGAGTCTTGGCTACTTAAGAACATCTTCGGGTAAACCCTCAAGCAAACCCTCAAGTAGCACAATGTCCTCAATGACGTGCTCAACCCCAGAACATTCCTCAGTTCTTCCTTCAATCCATTACCAGAAAAATCCCAACAAAAATCGCTTCCTCAGGTAGAGATGCAAGCAAAGAACGTATTGTTAGCAGTAGTAGCTCAAACGAAGGCTTAAGTGAATCTGACTTTCTTTTATAAGCACATGGAAGTATTAACTGTCTTTCCACTTGCGTGAACACGTGTGCCCGGGTGTCTTGAGCCTGTGTGCCCGGGTTTCATTGGAAGCCTTGCACTGAAGTTGACTTTCTTTGACTGCCGGTTCAATCACGTTTGCTCGTAAAAAAACGTTTGATCGAAGTAACTGTTCTGCAAGGGCTTGTGAATGAGAAGTTGAAATGTTTGGTCTGCAGGACATCGGATGTGACCACTAAGAGTTGGCACTTCGGAAGTAGCAAGAAGGCTACTAGGGTGGAGGCCATCACTATGAACGTAACCAGAAGCTATGCTTGCCGCATGCAGCCAAGTTATACACTTTGTTTGGTGCAGGAGTTTTCGGCTGTTCCTCCCAACGGTCGCCAGTCAGCCTCCTCCTTTTCGGCGAGACGGTCGGCCGCATCCTTCTCCTGTTCGCGCTTCCGGTCCTTCTCCCGGTCCTGACAGATCCGTTCGAACACCAGGGGCTTGGCTAGTGGCAGTTCTAGATGGATTTGTTACGCAACGTTTGTAGCTTCTCCAACCTAATAGCTTCTTGCTACCCAAGTCCTCCCAAGTTCTAGGCTCTGGAGAAGTGTTTCTTCAATCTCTTGGTTTCAATGGAGGCTGAACCCTGTTAGATCCTGTTAGTGAACCCATTGCATGGGCATGATCCCCTTCGGATCCTTCCGAAAACTACTGCTTCAATGCTGTAGCTGAAAAGCAACCAACACATTGACATGAGCTAACCACCTGCCACAAGCGAGAACTCCGTGTCCATTTGAGTGTGCCTAACATGTCTTCAAGAAGCGACTTGGACAAGGGCGAGGGTGAACATACTCTTGAATTCGGTGGTTTGGGACCGTACTGGCCAGTCGGATTTCCATCGAGGTTCATGGTCCTTTCTCGAATCGAGGCTGTGGCCGAAGGCAAAGCAACTCATACTATGATCTACTGTTTGTATTGTACCGGATATACTACCCTCAATTTTGGCTTCCCCCATTTTTCTACGAGTGCTCTCCACCAATTGCAAATAACAGACACAAATCATTATACATATGTATATATATATATATCTTATGCGCTGACCACTGAGTCTCCGACGATATTTCAGCATGTTTCGATCAGCAAATCTCAAAAAAGTACCAGGATCAATTCCAGCTTTAGCCAAGACCATGACCTCTTAGCCACTTGGATAGTGTGGGCAAACGCTACTAAGTTGGAGGCCATTGCTACTAGGTTGGAGGCCATCGATATTAGGTTCCTTTTGCGGAGGGCCGTGCGCGTAGTCACAAAGAGGCTGCGGTCACACAGTCGCACGGAACGGATGCGCAAAGTGGGCAGAGATGTCTCCACTGTTGGATCAGGCTTACAGCACAAATCGTGCATAAAACCGCGTGCATGTCCGTTCGCTTGGCTTCAGAACTTCACTTTCGACATCGACCTCCAAAGCGCCGGAACCCAAGCGTGTTGCCGTCCTCGCGCCGCCGCTTCCATTCCTTTACATCAGACTCCCGGAAGTCGAGGTCCCGGTCGGCGAACTTTCGCCTGAACCCGACGAGTTCTTTTTGGAGCGAAGCCAACGGTTCCAAAGGACGAACGGTGGTTTTTGTGGTTCCTGGCTGGGCAGAATTCTCTCATCCGAGTGTTTCTTTCGGGAGTTCCAAACAAATATTGGCGGGACTGGCGCAAATCTGGCAGAGTCCTTGAGGAAATAAAGATTGGGGAACCAACATATTTAAGACATGCATTTGCTACTAGGTTGGAGGCCATCGCTCTTAGGTTGGAGGCAATCGCCATTCAGAGAAGCATTTGCAGTAACACCTCTGGCTTTGCCAGTTGCACGATGTTGGACGGCTTCAGCTGCTTAATGTACTTCGGTGTAGACGATCCTTTGTCCTGTCCCGTGAACCGCCCCTAAAGGGGAAACTCAGGATCCAATGCCTCTCACGTGGCCGTCCGTCACGTGACGTACCACGTGCTTGTGATCACACCGGGCACGTGCTTGTGACAACGAACACAAGGGAGTGGCCAGCCAGATTAATACGAGGGGTCGGCGGACGAGAATAGAGAACCTCAAAGGTCAAACACAATCCCTTATAATCTAAATGCCCCACGTTACTTTGGATGTCGTCTTCATGAAGATCGAGTTTCCAAACCTTTCAACGGTTGTTCAATAGAGTTTTAAACATGCATGGAGGCCAGCACGAAGTCCAGAACAGTTTGACCCGAGTGGCCACTGGCCAAACACACCCAGACCCCAAAGAAGGACACATCTCTGGACGGCAGATCGCAGAAAACATGTTGCGTTTGCGACGATCAATGACCTCATCAAAGGTATAAACAATTTGGACATCCTATGGCCCGGTGTCGGTTTTGACTGAGCCTCAAACAGTTTAAAGGATGTTCACTTCCCATAGATAATCATCAACAAACATTCAACCAAAGCCCCCTTACCTTAGACAAACCACCTTCCAATCTTCCCTAGAAATTCTCAGACAACACCAAACAACATCAAACTTGCAAACAGGCCTCAGTCTCTTCGCTTGTTGAACAAATACATCTAAAAATAACAAACACACATCCTTCGTCCCATTTCGTCCACATCCCCGACTCCGAGAATCGGCCGAAGGCACTTCTCCCGGTCCGTCGGCTCAGATGCAGGCCTTGGCAAGGACGCTACGTTCGGAGCTCCTGGCCATACTACTAGGAACAAGAAACTACTAGTAAAGGCTTGGCAAAAGAACCGTTTGTTCAAAGCGAGTTCGAACTGTCCAAAGCCTTGGAAGCGAGAGCATGAATCCCATGTCCGAACGAGGCTGACGGCTGGGACGGCTTTTTTGGGAGGAAACAAACCACTGTTTGGATCTCAACTGTTTGGATCTGGCCACCACATGTTAGGTATAAACAAACCACATGTTACATAACCAAATTATGCCAGATCCAAACAGTAGAGATCTAATACGATGTTTGCCACCACAGATCGGTGGACCATGTTGGTCGTTTGCTGTGTTTTTGGCCCAGGTCCGAAAGAGAAGTGTCCGTCAACCATGGCCAAGTTCCTTCAAATTCCTGCAATGAACATCACGTTCCTTCAAATTCCTCCCGTAACCTCGACGTGATGGCCATTTGTTCGTTTTGACCTGCTTAAGCATCGTTTGCCTGGTTGATTTGGCCCCATTTCGTCGAAACATCGGTCTCTTTGGAACGGCTGGGCTCGAAGCAAAATGACCGGCCGAAGGAGCCAGTTGAACGTTTGCAGGAGGAAGGAGGCTACGAACGGGGCGCTCCTGGCCTTGCTACTAGGAACAAAGAACACTACGAACGGAGCAAGGGCATCGCTACT